ATACTAGTATATGTACCATGGTTAGGAGACGCTGTAACAATTATTGGGATTTTATGAAGAAATTTGATTTGTAAAATGTTTTTATTGGATATGTTTTATAGCAGATAATTGTTTATATCGCAAAAAGTAAAACCCCCAGAGGTGATCAAATACCAACAAACGAAAGGTCTATTTGTGGGGGAAAGAAACAACGACATGAGCGTTGCATGACTGCGCAATTGTCAGTTAAAGTAACGCAGTGCCGTAACGTAAAAAAAATGGCCTGGTCAGGAAGGGGGGTTAATCCTTTGGAGGGCAAGGGGTTCAAATATTATGCCAGTACACAAGGGACCTAAGCCAGACTTAGGCTGGCCATACACTATACAATTTTCTTACAATTTCTGCCCAATTTCCTTTAGATTTACCTTCAGCTATGTAGTGCAAGGGCCTGCCTAACTGGATACAATTGAAAGTGTTTTGGTTTGACCTCGTATTATATGGTTTTTAGTAAATTCTCAAGAAAATTGTATAACGTATGGCCAGCCTTAGCCAGGAATAGCAGCCTTCATATTTCCCTTGTGACGGGGTCACTTTAATTATGAGTATGGTTCCATTTACAAACACTATGATGCTTTTGCACCTTTAACTGGTATTTCTACAAATGTTTTAACCAAAAAGACACAAATTTTCTCTTTTTTTAAGCACCATTTTATGTTTGTTCACTTCACAGGAAAACCCCAAGTTGTTGATTCAAGATCGGCCATACAAAAATAAAAAAAACATTTGGAATCTAGACAGGTAAGTTGTTACCAACCTACAGCACCCAGTTCTCTCATACTTTTCTAGATGTCACTTGTTCAGGCCGTGGGAAGCGCAAGAGAAAATCAATAAATTCCACAGCATGGAGGAATCTGCACTTCCGGCTATTTTATTCACACAGATGTCCAAATACCTCAACAGTGATTGCATCTAACAAGATTGCAACCAATGTTCAGATGACAATTTTCACCCAGCCCAATTAATAACAGGGCCATCGACGGTTCGAATTTCTGGCTGATTGAAGATGAATCAGCTGAAATGCGATCTGTGTGTGCCTAGCTTTAAAAGTTAGGTACCAGCCACTCCAATATAAAAACCACATCATATCACCATGCACACAGCTATGGTATGTTACTACAAACCTGCTTGCTCACTTTTTTGTTTGTTTTTGCCATTTTATTAGCAGCAGGATCTCTTCCACGCCTAGGAGAAGGAGAGGGGAATCAGATCTACCACAAAAGAATTCAATATCCACATTATTGGCTCGATTTGTCAAAGTAGAACTATAGGCAAAACTTATTTTTTTCACCCGTCAGTTTTCTTGTCATCTGTGTTCCATTGGGGAGATTTACCTTCACTTCCTGTCCCATATACAAAACAGGAAGTGAAGGGAAATACCTGCAAATTAAGAGACTAGTGTCTCCATTGAAAGACTTCCCCTCTAATACTTTTCTGGGGGCAATTCAAAATTTGGGACTCTTTTACTTTTAGTGATGATGGTAAGCAGCACAAACAGAGAGGGTGAATCTCCTGAACAGGGACATCTGACCAGGGTTCTAATCTCTCTCCAATCTATCCAAAACTTAAAAAAAAAAAGTCTTGCCTTTAGTTATACTTTAAGAATATAATTCTGAAATCAATAAAAACTGACCTTTTTTATCAATGTACTTTCAAGCACTGATTTATGATTTGTTAGTGGAGGTTTTCAGTTCTACAAATTAGGGGTACCATGTAATCAGCTGGACTAGTTTTGTAACATCATTCCATTTGCTTAGTCCTAAGTGTTGGGACAACACCTCAAGCATTTATAGCTACTGTACATTAGTCACTCAAGCCCCTTCATGACAAGAGGGGAACACAAACCTTCATTTTTGCAATTTTGACCAGAGTAAAACTGTACATATCTCCCTGGGAGAAGAAATAGCCAAATCACTGTTCAGTGTACAGATTTCTGTGTTTGTAATCACAGAACTCTCTGATGTGATTGGTCACAGCAATCAGCAGGTATGCAACCAAAATCTTTGGCTGAAACTTGCTGACAAACGTGTGCTGTGTCCAATCACAGCACAGGTCAGCAAGGGGTATCTGCAAACACACCCAAAAACCCAGAAGCAGGCAGGGACATACGGTACGTCACCTAGCCTACAAGATACCCGCCCACTAGCGGAATATCTACTGTTGGCGAGTGGCAAGCGGTTAATATAGATTGACAAAAAGAAACAAAACAACAAAATAAATAAATAAAACTACACGTGTGCCTGTACCAAACATGTGTAAGGTATAGCCATAATCGTCTATGGAAGTAGAAAATACAGAGTTCACCACAGGCTGGCCTGTTCACACTGTCCACTCCCAGACAGGCCAGCAATAAGGGTGTATAGGAGTTATGTTTGCATATATATATATAAATTATGATAAGGAAGCGCTTGTGTACATACACTTCAACCACTTGTCCTCCAGAGGATTTACCCTCCCCTTCCTAACCAGGCCAATTTTTTTCCCAACAAATAGAGCTTTCTTTCGGTATTTGATCGCCTCTGCGGTTTTTATTTTTTTGCGCTATAAACAAAAAAAGACCGACAATTTTGAAAAATATATAGTTTTTTTTTACTTTTTGCTATAAAACATATCAAGTAAAAAAATTTTCAAAATCTAATTTCTTCATAAATTTAGGCCAAAATGCTCCATGTCTTTGCTAAAAAAAAAAATCCCAAAACGTGTAACTTAATTGGTCTATGTGAAAGTTATAGCGTTTACAAATGGCGGAATCGATACTGGAAATTTTTTTTTTATACTAGTAATGGCGGCGATCAGCGACCTTATAGTGGGACTGCGGCAGGCATTCTGACACTGGGGGGAACTGACTTGGTGTCACTGACATGCCCAGTGACACCAATACAGTGATCAGTGCTAATAAAAAGCACTGACACTATACTAATGGCACTTGGCAGGAAGGGGTTAACATCTGGGGTGATCAGAGGGTTAACTGTGTGCGGTGTGTGGGCTTTACTGTATAAGAACACTGCTTTGTATTGTTCTGCTATACAGAGCAACACAAAGCAGTGTGTAGGAGCTGACAGGGGAAACATCTGTATTGTTTACATACAGACCTCTCCCGTCAGTGATACTCGGCGATTGCCAGGTGCCGGCGGGGAATAATCAGCCAGGATCCAGTCATCGACAGCTCAAGCCGGTGGTGCAGATAGGGCACCCCCTACCCAGAAATACAAAATACCATATATATATACGTGATTTTGAGCAGCCCTGCCGCCCTGTAGCAGTGTATCTGCTGTAGGGCGGCGGGAAAGCGGTTAACCACTTTTTGATCATGCTATAGCCGAATGACGGATACAGGGAGGTTGTCTAGTTCTGGGAGATGCTGTCACAGTGTGAGGAAAACACAGCCGATAACCGGCATCTGTGAAAGGAATAATTTACACTGATCAGTGCCCTGATTATCAGTGCAGCCCCAAATGTGCCCATCACTGTTGCCTATCAGTGCTTTTTTTTAGTCTTTTTTTTGTTTATAGTGCAAAATAAAACCCCATTGGTGATTAAATAGCACCAAAGAAAGCTCTATTTGTATGGAGGAAAAAAAAGGATAAAAATTTCATATGGGTACAGTGTTGCATGGCTGCGCAATTGTCATTCAAATTGTGAGAGCGCTGAAAGCTTAAAATTAGCCTGGGCAGGAAGGGGGTAAAAGTGCTCAATAGGCAAGTGGTTAAAGCACTGCAATATAACTAGAAACTAATTATCTGATATACTAAAATGAACCCCTTGGTGTACGAAATGAGCAGCCTCACTGGACTGGGCTTTTTTACGCAGGGCCTCTAATTTGCGTACTTGTCTTTTTATTGGCACGCTCCCAGCACAAAGACCGGGGTGTCAGTGAGAGCCCCAGGTCCCATTCTAAGGATCGGGACGTGATACTTCCGAGTCCAGGTCACATGATTACTGTGATATCCAATCAGAGGCTTTCACAGCAATCAGTCACTGGAAAGTCTGCACCCCTTTTCTCTATATGAATGGAGAGAGATTTCTCCTGTCTTTTCAGGGAGAAAAAAGTGTAAAAAAAATAAATTAAATAACCTAGATCAAGGTGTTTGGGTCAAGGGTCAGTATTTTCTTTTCTTTGGTCAGGATTTTTTTTTTTTTAATTAGTATCAGTGTCAGTTAGAGGCAGGATTAAAAAAACAAAACAAAATAGAAGCAAAATGCACACTATTGTTTCTGGGCTGTAGTACGGGTACAAACAACTAACACACACATATGAGGTATCGCTGCAATTTTCAGGAGCAGAAATTATTTTGAGTTGTTCTTTGGTGGTTGGTTATGGTAGTAGCAAAAATATACGACTAAATAAAAATTGTTTTTTTTTTACTGTTTTGGGCCAGTTTTCCTTAGATAATAAAAAAAAGGAGATATCCATTGCCATTTACCAACAAATGAAAGCCCAATTTGCCCTGAAAAAAAAATGATATAATCCACCTGGATGTACAAAGTAGTTGTGATATGTACAGTTTTGCTAAAACACATCTCAAAGTTGCAAAATTGTGCTTTGGCTTTAAGATTTGTTTTACCCTTAGGCATGACGGGGTTAAGTATATACTGGGATATGTGAAAGCAGACCCTGCATGAAAAAAAATACATACGGTAACCTAAAGTGCTATGTAATACTGAACTGATAAAAAGATAGCCCTCTTCCAGTACAGTTCTTCATCTACTGCCTATGGTATGGAACGTGCGATGGCAGCAGTGTCTCCCCCTCCTTTCTGTCTGTAATCTAAGGACGGTTAAAAATGGCCGGCTCCATCACACAACTCGCACAGTCAAAGCAACCCATGTGAAAAGCAAACCCATGTGAAGAGCACTAAAAAACCACTAGCAGCTCCTATAGTATATTCATACTCGCTTTATGTATTATCAGCAATGCAAAAAAAAAAACTTGGAATTTCTACATAAAAATAATATCTGCATGCTTACCCTTTTCCTGGACCCCCAACTGAGACCACCTGCATTCCAAATGCTCCCCGACCACGGGAAGGTTTACTGCCTGCCCACTGACCAACCACCATACCAGCGATCTCCAGCTTTCCCCCTTGTGGTGGAATAGGATGCACGCCTGCATGGAATGCACACAGTTAACCAGTGTGGAAATACACACAATACAAACACATCTAAAGAGTACAATACACACCTGAAAAACCTCGGTTTCTTCCAGGAGGAGGTGGGGGCATGGAGCCCATGGCTCTGGGGTACAGTGGAACAGGGTAAAAGGGTGGCATCATGGGGGGCATGAAAGGCGGTGGAGGCAGAAGTGGTGGAGGCGGCTGGCGGTTCAGGTTGATCCCCTCTAAGATACTTTGTCTCATCTTCTCCACTTTGGCTGCCTGTTCCGCCTGGAGTAAAAGAAATACATACAAATAAATTAATGCAAGACCAGCTAACATACTTCTCTACAAACATTCAATGACGGGCACAGAAGACCTCAGAATTTGGTTGGATGTACAAAAAGGGGGATGTTTTCCTTATGTACATTCAGTAATTAAATGACAGGGCTCATGTGCTAGATAGCCTGACAAAGGCAACTTTAACCGCTTCCTGACCGCCCTATAGAAGATATACTGCTACAGGGCGGCACAGGTGAGCAAAATCACGTTGTATATATATATATATATATATATATATATATATATATATATATATGATGTGATTTTGCATCTCCAGGTAGGGGGCGCGCATTCGCAGCCACGGTTGTCAATCACCGGGCCCTGGCCGGTGATTACCGAGCATCTCCAACGGGGAGGAGAACTGTTTGTAAACACAACAGTTCTCCCCGTCAGCTCCTGCACACTGCTTTGGATGGTTGTGCACAGCAAAGCCATCCAAAGCAGTGTGCTTAAGTGCAGCACACAGACACAGTCTCATAGTAAAACAGCACACAGTTAACCCTTTGATCCCCCCTAATATTAACCCCTTCCTGCCCAGTGGCATTAGTACAGTGTCAGTGCTTTTTTTTTTTTTTTTCCAGCACTGATCACTGTACTGATGTCACTGGGGATGTCAGTGACACCAAGTCAGTTCCCCCCAGTGTCAGAATGCCCACCACAGTCCCATTATAAGTCGCTGTTCGCCGCCATTACTAGTAAAAATAAATTAAAACAAAAATCCCAGTATATATACCACCATTTGTAAACACTATACCTTTCATGTAAATCAATTAATTTACACGGATTACGATTTTTTTTTTTTTAGCAAAGGCATGCAGCAGAATACATTTTGGCCTAAATTTATGACAAAATTTGATTTTTAAATTTTTTCCTTGGATATGTTTAACCGCATGCCGCCCAGCCACTGTACATGTAGGGCGGCACTCACAGGCAAAACCACGTTTTAAGACGTGTGTCTTGTAAACAAATAGGGGGCGCACGCGAGGCGCGCCGCCGCCCTATTTGTCCTGTGGATTACCGCCGCAGATGTCAGTCGCCGGGTCACAGCCGCTCCTTAGCGGCTATGTCCCGGCGATCGGCGGCAATCAGTGACAGAGAGCACAGCTGCAGTAGCTGTGCTGTCTGTCACTTCCTTCTCAGCTCGAGGATGAGCTGATCGAGAAAGAGGAGTTTCTCTTTCTCGATCAGCCTTGTCCTGCCCAGTACACCCCCCCCGCCCCCTAGTAAAACACTCCCCTCACTCCTATAACCCTTCCCTAAAAAATAACCCCTTCCTCCCCATTGCCATTAGTACAGTGTCAGTTTTTTTTTTTTTTGCACTGATCACTGTATTAGTGTTTTTGGGGATGTCAGTGACCCCAAGTCAGTACCCCCCAATGTCAAAATGTCCGCCGCAGTCCCGCCATAAGTCGCTGCCATAAGTCCCTGATCGCCGCCATAATTCGCTGATCGCCGCCATTATTAGTATAAAAAAAAAACCTAAAAATCCCAGTATCTTTCCCGCCATTTGAAAAAGCTATAACTTTCATGTAAACCAATTAATTTACACGTATTGGGTTTTTTTTTTTAGCAAAGACATGTCGCAGAATGCATTTTGGCAGAAATTTATGACTAAATTTGATTTTTTTTTACTGGACATGTTTTATAGCAAAAAGTCCAAAATATTTTCCTTAAAATTGTCAGCCTTTTTTTTTTTTATAGCGCAAAAAATAAAAACCGCACAGGTGATCAAATACCACCGAAAGAAAGCTCAATTTGTGGGGAAAAAAAGGATGTAAATTTCATTTATGTACCATATTGTATGACCGCGCAATTGTCCATTAAACTAGCGCAGCTCTGTATAGCAGAAAAATGGCGTAAATTGCAGTATCTATACCATAGTTTGTAGACGCTATAACTTTCACACAAAGCAATCAATATACACTTATTGGGATTTTTTTTACCAAAAACATGGAGCAGAATACATTTTGGCCTAAATTTATAACCAACTTTGAGTTTACTATATATTTTTTATAGCTGAAAGTAAAAAATATTGTTTTTCTTCCAAATTTTTGGCCTTTTTTTGTTTATAGAGTGAAAAACAAATAGCGCACAGGTGATCAAATACCACCGAAAGAAAGCTCTATTTGTGTGAAAAAAAAGGACGTAAATTTCGTTTGGGTGCAGCATTGCATGACCGCGCAATTATCAGTTGAATTAGTGCAGCGCCGAGTAGCAAAAAGAGGCCTGGTCATTAAGGGGGGTAAATCCTCTGGAGCTAAAGTGGTTAATAGCAAAAAGTATAAAAAAAAAATGTTTCTGAAAATTTTTTATAGCGCGCAAAAAATAAAAACCCGCACAGGCGATCAAATACCAATGAAAGAAAGCTCAACTTGTGAGGGAAAAAAAGGACATAAATCTCATTTGGGTGCATCGTTGCATGACCGCGCAATTGTCAGTTAAAACAATGCAGCATCGTAGCACAAAAAATGGGCTGGTCAGGAAAGGGGGTAAATCCTCTGAAGGGCAAGTGGTTAAAGTACTTTTCTATTTTAGGTTTTATTCATTCTAGGTTGTCATTTGACCTTACCAAATGTTTGCTTTCTAACTATATACTGGAATTCTAATGGAACCTTGGTGACAGTCTATGTATCTGTCAGGGGTGACCACTCCTTTCATCTCTTGGTTACTGTATTACTGTATATTACATTCTTGTCTATGCATCCTCATTGTAGATTTATTCAATAAAGCTTTATGGAGAAAAAAAAAAAAGCAGAACCTTCTTTGAAACCTCCCTTCTTAGTAAGACAAGACAGGTCCTCCTCAAGGAGCACAAATTACTCCCCATTTACTAGGACCTTACAAAAGGTGAGTAGAAAGTGGGATCCCTCTGCGTTACCACAGGTGTCCGGAGCAAAGAGTTCATGTTCTCAATGAATGGAAGAACCATTAGATACAATCTTAGAACGTGAACATAATCCATGTTAAAAAGTAAGGCAAGCCTTAGATAAATTCCTCCATCAGCACAGTCAGTGTTGATGGTGGAATTACGCCCACGGTGATATTGTGTTCTGCTGGCGGGGAGCCTTCACTGCCGGCAGAACCTGTCAGCCCATACATACACTGAGATTTGGCCGGTCCCTGCTGAACAGGCCGAATGTTGGTCCAACTCTCAGTTAAAGGTCTATAGAGTGAAGTGTAATTATGGTTTACCTTTTGTGGTCTCCCTGGTCTCCCCTGATTGAAATATCAATCCATGCATGGGGAGAGCAGTTGTACAGAGGTCGATATATTGGTTGACTTTTATACAACCACTCTTGGATAAATGCTGCTCCATCACCGCCGATCATTGTATTCTGACAGGGGAAAAGTCTTCCCACTGTCGGAACACAATAGTTCAGCAGGAGTGATTACCCCCCCCCCCCCCCCCCCCCCCCCCCCCCCGTTTACTACATTTATCACTTTTTCAAGATATTTGAAGTGAACATAATTACACTCATCTCACACTGATCTGTTCTTTTAACCGCTTCTACACCCCCCTATAGAAGAAATACTGCTACAGGGCGGCACGGATGCGCAAAATCACGTACATATACGTATGATTATACGTGATTTTGCAGTTCCGGGTGAGGAGCGCACTCGCCCTACCCGCACCGCCATTCGCGGCCACGGATGTCAATCACCGGGTCCCAGCTGGTGATTACTCGCTGGCGCCTGCCGAATGGCAAGGATCTCCGACTGGGAGGAGAACTGTTTGTAAACAAAACAGTTCTCCTCCCTGTCGTTGATCGCCACCATTACTAGTAAAAAAAAAAAGAAAAATGAAAAAAATTCCAGTATCTACACCGCAAAAATTCTAAAATATTTTTTTTTCTCAAAATTGACAGCCTTTTTTTTTCATAGCGCAAAAAATTAAAAACGCACAGGCGATCAAATACCACCAAAAGAAATCTCAATTAGTGGGAAAAAAAGGACGTAAATTTAATTTGGGTGCAGTGTTGCATGACTGCGCAATTGTCAGTTAAAGTAACGCAGCGCCATAACGCAAAAAATGCCCTGGTCAGGAAGGGGGGAGGGCAAGTGGTTAAACAGGGCACATGCCAGCACCAACAAGCTGTAAGATATCCAAACCCAAAAATAAAAATGTGTAACACATTATTGTTTATCAGTTCATAGGTGTGGTGGTCGCATCACTTTACTGACTGGGAAAATGTCCTCAGCCTGTAGAGTCTAGTGTGACAACCCTTGCTCTCTCCATAAATACAGTTGGGTGTTGCCATCCTAGGACAGAACGTGTATTTCTGTCAGGATTACCTGGTGAAAATTAAGGAAAAACAGCTGGAAAAAAGAAAAGGGGAAAAAAAAAACCATCCAGCCACTAATAGCAACCTGCAATATATTACATTTTTGGTTTTAGGTTTGGATATACAAGAAAGAAGAAAAAGATGTGTCCCTCGTCCCCTGCTACAAGGAACATTATAGGCGTTTTATGTAATCAGACACCAAAGAGAGAGCCTATAGATTGGCAAGTTACCACTGCAAAGAAATTGTATTTCTGTTTCTCCAGGTCGGAGATTTTTACAGCTCTGCTACACACCACAGTCTGACAGGGGAGGGGGGCAATTTCACTTACAGGTCTTGTCCTCCCACCCCATGACAGGACAGTGAAAGGAAAACCAGCCCTCTGATAGCGTATCTCCCTGTTCTCTCCTCCTTAGCATGTCCCATGTTATCACGTGAACATGACTGCACAATTGATTTTTCATCATACAAATTCACCCATCTCATAATTTATTTATTTATAAGTAAATCTCATTAGCTGAACTCTTCTGTGCAGGGGATTGCTGATACCAAGTCATATTGCGGCACTTACATTAATTGATGTACTACAGAAACCTTACCTGAAATATAATGACATAACTTTGATGTTACCTGTAGTCCTGTGCATTTCACAAAGACTTGTGATTTCTTACCTGGCCATCACAAAGATCAATTAAAGGTGCTTTCTCCCGTCCTCCTCGGTTCAGCTTGCTCTGGAAAAGCTTCCCATCAAAGTAAATCCACGGACAGCAGTGCTCCCAGGGAACAGGCTGGCCGCAGGCGTCATTGGCAAATAGTGCGGTATCCACTCCACTCATGAACAGAGCTGCAAGCTGCACACCCCGAGTATCCAGTTTCTCAATCTGGCCAATGAAAACAAGTCAGAGTTTCATAAGTCGCTTACACAATATATCTCTGGCACAATCTTTTATGTAGAAGATATTATAAAGGTGACCTACCTTGAGCTCCTGTAGCTGGTCGGGCTCATAAAGTTGTGCAGATACAGCCTGTGCTAGAAATGCGTCCAACTCATGCCTAAGTAGTATTCTTCCTCCAGGCCACTGCATCATATACCTGCAAATAAAGAACAGGCCATGACTATTCACCCTCCGGAAGGAACGACGGACATTTAACCTATAGATTTGCTGACTCTTCTCACCGCAGCACACAGCACATGAGGAGGAGATGGGTGGGCACATTAGCTGGGTTCAACATGCTGGGTGTGTCTGACTTCATACAGGCCAGGAAAGCTCTCATCCGGCGGTTTTTGTCCTCTACGGCTTTTCCAAGCCACAGTTTCTTCAAATTAGGACAAGTCCATTCTCTGAAGGTCAAGGCCGATACCAACTCTGGAGTCTGAGGTGACTTCCCTTTATAGGCAGACCATTCTTTAATTATCACTGGCGGAACTGCAAAAGCAAAATCACAGAAACGTGGGTTGTCATCTTTTAGTAAGGGGAAAGACCTGTCGGTGCAGATAATTTGTGGAATGGCCAAAAGATGTCCATGTGGGGTTGTATCAGATGTAATACAAGGAAAATTGTTGCATAACTCCAACTTTCCAGAAATCCCCACACTCAAGATACCAAAATCTGGGAGCTCACGAAACCACAAACATTCTGTGTCAGCAGGAGTACAGTCTAGAAGCCTTCCACACCTATCTAATCTAAATAACCAAAATGTACACAACTCTTACAAAACCTTCATTGACAAGCAAAATAAAACATATGCCAGGGCTATTCAACAGAAACGGTTTGACATGCAGCCAACATTCTGATTATTACATAGGTATAGGGGAAGTAACATTATTTTGGTAAACAAAAGAATATAATGAAGTCAAGAGGAGAAATAAAAGAAATCATACTTCTCTGAAAGCCTTTTAACAGTGGAGGAGTTGGAAGAACTTGAGTTGAAACTATTAAAATTCCCTGGATGCAATACTGCATCTGAGCATGGCAAGGGGTCCAGATTTTGCTAACCAGATGATGGAAGACATGCTGACTCAATAAACCCCCTCCATAGCAAAATGTGCAATATGGAAGCAAAACACATAACCCAGGTTGAATATTCCTGGGAAAACCAGCAGAAGACGCTCACACTGTAGGGGTGAGCTCCTGTCTAGTGGCAAATGCAATTATGAGAACATGGATGAAGAGCAACATATCAGTTATTACCAATCTACGAGGTCAAAGCCTCGGTGTACACTATCAACCACATATGAGTTGCACAGGAACGGCACCACATTGCTGTGCGATTCACATGCGATTCAGTGCGGTGCGATTGGCATGCACCAAACTTGTGCATGCAGCAATACTGAAACCGCACTGAAACCAGATTGCGTGGTTGTGTTTTATACCATCCGACCCAGTGCAGGCAAACGCACAGCCTTTGCGACCTACATTTGGGTGTCATTATCATTAAAATTGCATTGACACCCATTACCCATTGCAGATCGCAAGGGCAGTGCGATTTGAATGCAGTGCAGGAAACACACGGATCATGGGTTTCCCACACCGCATTCTATCGTGAAATCTAGGATAAAGGTACCGGTCATGAAAGGAAGACTCAAAACTGAATGAAGGTGTAAAATGTCAGGATTATATCATGGAAACTTATTCTTAGGGAAAAAGAAACACAAATGTAGTTCAAGTCCTCAATACATGCAAAATTCCCCATGTTTCATCCCTTTAAAATGCAGCAGGTACAGAAACATACCCATTGATCTGCCCATAACTTCCTGTTTGGGTTTGTCAACTTCTGAGCCAAATCCCAACCAGCACTGTCCACCCTGCCTGCCAGACTACACCTTTGTCCTTACCTCATGCGTACATTGCTTACTAAAAGAATGCTGATGCCTTGAGTCCCAGGAGCTGCCCATACAAGTTTCCATGTGGGAATGAGTTTTTGGGGAATTTGGGGGCAAGTCTGCACTAGTAGGAACTGACCTCCCTTCAGCTGCCTTTTAGGAATTTTGACAAGCCTTTGGATGATGTCACAGTAAGCAAGTTTCTTGCTACTGGAACAAGGAAAAAGAAAAATAGGACACGGTCCAGAGGGGAAGGAGGAGGTTTGAATGTAATTGTAGCTAATGCCTGGACATTTGTAGCCTGCGAAATGTCATGACTTACATCTCAGCTTCTTCACAGATTTCAATGTTCTGTAAAAAACACTAAGAATGAAAGCAATCAAAGTGTAAAGTTACATAAGGGCTCAAAGTTACAGTACAACCTCACAGCTGAGCAGTGCTTTTACCACCCTCAACTGCTACCCTCTTTACCGCATTGGCAGCAGCCAAGGGTTGGCAGCAATCATAACAAATGTTGCTTCCAAGTGACTGGGGTTGCACTGTAAACACCCCACTAGTGCATGCAATGCACACGGTTGCAGCGCTCCAATGTGGGGTTCAAGGGGTAAAAAGCAGGAGATGAGGAGGCTGATACAACACCTCCTCACCACCTGTCAAATGCTTTCTGAAGAACGATCCGAACACAGCTCGTTTTTTAGGGAGCAAAGCTCGGGTGAACAGGACAAAAAGTCGGACAATTTATGAAGAGTTACAGGTACATTTACATGCACAAGTGGGAATAATAAGATGGTCCTTTAACACTCAATCACATGACAGGTAAAGGACAGTTTGGCAATGACATGGCAAATAATTGAAGACAACTCGGCAACTAAGCAGAAAGGATGACAGCAAAACAACAGACAAAAATATCCTTAGGAAGATTAGGTTTCAGATAAGTCTGCTTAGTAGAACAAAGGACTTATAGGGACTAAGAGAAGAGGAAACTAGCCAAGACAGGAAATTAACAAGGCATACAAATTCTGTGTTTTTGCCACGACTGTTGTAATGTACTCAGAACTGTGTAACCCCACAATACACACAACACATATAGAACATACCAAAACAACTACATCAATAAAAAAAACAAAACATAACAATTCCCCTTACCATCCACTGGCAGACGCCTGCGCATGGCTAGCCGCTCAAGCCGCCTCTGAGTCTCAGCCAGGCTGAATAAGACTCCGTATACATATTGGCGTGCTGGGCGGAAAAGAATGGTGGCAGGGGGGAGATCAGTGTTGCATTCATCCTCTATGCACACTGGCAATTTAATCTCACCCTATGGGAAGAAGAGAAAGCCAGATAAAGGTAAGCTGTGTATACCACCTTCAGTAACAGGACTGCCACAGACGTGCAGATTTCTCATCAAAAATGAAAGATGGCAAGAGATCTGCTCGTCTTCAGCCTAACAAACAATGGGACCTTCCTGGACTCCATGTACATGTTGGAAGTGCAAATTACTGCTTAAAAGTCAAACTGCACAATTGTTGCAATTAAACTGGTTGTATTGTTGACAAATATCATTTTCTTAGCCTAAGTGACTGCAAAAGATAACCTAAATATACTCCTGAATGGGGTTGGATTGTATGTAAGGGGAAGTCCTTTATTTAGTTGTGCAAACTTGTACTGGAATATATGACAGGTGGAATTGCTAGAGTAACAACCCCAAATGCTTGACTTCCCCAGAGGTTCCTTTATACGGCATTTTTTGTGCTGCACAAACCTTAGTGAGGACATGGTAGATGTATGGGTACATGAGACCCCTTCGATGTCTGTGCTCTGCCACTCGTAATACTTCAGGAGCCACAGGAGGTAAAGGTGGTGTGGTGATATCCATGTGGTTTCTGGTCGCCATGGATAGCAGGGATGGAATCTGGGATTCATTTTGCCCCATATTTTGTTGGGATTCTCCAGATCCTGACTGGTGGCCCCAATTCTGTGTCATTTTCTCTCCGGAGGACTCCTCCCAATTGGTCTTGTGCTGTCGTGCCTCTGTGACATGACTGTATGATGGAGAGTAAAGAAAAAAAAAATTAAATACTACCAAGGCACACCATAGTATAAAAACTATTTTAGTCTTTTACAGCAGTGGTTGTCAACATACGAGGAGTGGGGGGCCTCCACTATGGCAGCTCTAAAGGGCCACACATAATGTCCAGTATACCACAGAAGACTATCAGAGACTTCACACATATGAGATGAGATGATCAGAGACTGCAAACATGCAACCTGGGCACCTGTGAATAGGTCGGCCTTCCTCAACCTTTTCTTCACAGAGGAACCATTGAAATAAATTTCTGGTGTAAGGCAACCCCTGCTAAAAATTACTATATCTACAACTCATGACACATTAGTGTGATGGTCAGTGGGAAGAATGCTCCTTACTCTTGTGGTCATTGGGAAGAATTACCCCCTTATAGATGGCTAAAAGGATCAATGGTGTCAGTGTCTGAGAGGCGGATATTACTAAATTATTCAAGGAACTCCTAGCAATCTCTGGAGGAACCTGATTGAGAAACCCTGGAATAGACACTACAGTAGATAGAGACTGGGGACATGCTACATGAGACTGCTAGAGATCACTGTCATTGAAGACTCTTTACAAACGGCTGCTTGTCCTACTGACTGCTGGGTCCTGCAAAGGGCCACACAGCAAGTACAAAAAGGGCTGCATGTGGCTCTCGAGCTGCAGGTTGGGCATCGGGGTTTTAGAGAATCCATATATTTCTTTAAGAATGAAAAAGATTTTCAAAAGGAATGTAGCAAAAACCACAGACTTTAATATGCAGTTGTATTCTATACATGGCACTGTTGGTTCTGTAAGTACACCCTGTGGTTGAGAGAACAGACAAGGAGTGGTGATGCTGCCTGCATTAAGGCCACTTTAGCTATTAGCCAAGGTACTGTTGTATGCGACACTTAGCCCCCTCTATATACAGACTTTCAGCCACTTTCTCCAGGCTGGACATGTCTGCACAATACTGTACATTTACAAGCTTAAAGTGGTTTAAAGTGTAAATGTTTTTTACTTTTATACATCCCTGCATGAAGGTAAAAAACATTCTACTTCCTATTTTCCCCCAACCCCATCCCTACAAATGTACTTAGATCCTCACACTGATCCAGCTCTGCTCCATCTGCAGCACTGCTCCTGTCACCGGTCTCACAGGCCATAGGCTCCCGCTGCTGTAAGTTAAATCCAGTGAGGAGGGAAAGAGGAGCATAGCCGATCCACACTGTGTGTGTCTATGGATGCACACAGCCTGGCTCAGATAGGTGCCCCGCCTGGCTTGCTGAGGGGGCATTTGGAAGAAGTAAAAAGCGCCAGCGTGGCCTCCAAAAAAGGAGGTACAGTGAGTAGAAAAAATAATCACCTCCTTTAAAACAATCACATTTTGTTGCTTTGCAGCCTGAAATGAAGACCGACACAGTTTCTGTTTCCAGCTGTATTTACTCAAGTTACAGTGCATTCAGAATGTATTCGCAGCGCTTAACATTTGCCACATTTGGTATAGATCTGAATATTGATCAATCCTTAAGTACTGACAGCCAATCTAATTTCTTGAGGTCCGAGAATGTCAGAAAAGTACAGATATCCCCCAAATGAGCCCTTTTTGCAGAGTAGACAGTCCGACGTACTTCATAAGAGGCATGGCGAGTTTTTTGAAGTTGTATTTTTTTGTCATAATTTTTTTGGAAAAAATAAAAAAAATTATTTTCACAATTTTTTTTTTTTACATACTGTCACCAGTGCAGTACAGCGTCATCATATAACTAGCATGGTGGTGATCAGGGACACTGACTGGTAACAGTGTGCAAAAAAATATATATATATTTTTTTTTATTTTAAATTTTTTATTACATTTTTTTTAAGATTTTTTTTTCATATTTCACTATGTCCAAAGTAGTATAATGTTACCATAGTAACATTGTACTACTTTGGGGAAGTGATCAGTATTTTTTTTTTTTTTTTTTTACACAATTTGCTTATAGCAAAGAATTACTTTGCTATAAGCAAGCATTTACCTGAATGACATCGATTCATTCAGGGGGTTTTTTTTTTTTTTGTGCTTAGCTGTGATTTGGCCACGGCTAATCACATGAGATGTGCATGTGACCTGCTGTGACCATTCACAGCTAGGCAGTAGTATACAATGGATGGCATGAATGAAGCCATCCATTGTATACAACTGTCATGTGACCTGCTGTGATTGGTCACAGCAGGTCACATGGTACCGGCAACGGAGGCGGTACTCAGATCTGTCATCAGCCGTGTCCGAGGTACACAGCCGGTGACAGATCTGGCTCTGCAAGCGCGCGAACCTGCGCATGTGCGGGAGGACGCCATATGGCGGCCTCCCGGAAAGCCAATACATTTTTACGGACGCCATTTGGCCATAGGCCGGGCGTCAAATGGTTAAATACCCGCCCTCAGTTTTTGTAGAGCCTTACAAAACAAAAAGGAGGTAGTACAATTACAATACAATTCAGGACAAGAGGGCTCAGGAGGCTTCTATAAAACTGCACAACTTGCTGGTGCATGCTCCAGGGCCGATGACCAAGATGGAAGCTCCTACACCAGCAGCATGCTAATACATTTTTATGGCAGCTCCCATCACCTCAAGTATACTCATCCTTTAACCACTTGACCTCCAGAGGATTTACCCCCCTTAATGACCAGGCCTCTTTTTGCTACTCGGCGCTGCACTAATTCAACTGATAATTGTGCGGTCATGCAATGCTGCACCCAAACGAAATTTACGTCCTTTTTTTCACACAAATAGAGCTTTCTTTCGGTGTAATTTGATCACCTGTGCGCTTTTTATTTTTCACGGTATAAACAAAAAAAGGCCAAAAAGTTTGAAGAAAAACAATATTTTTTATTTTCAGCTATAAAAAATATATAGTAAACTCAAAGTTGGTTATAAATTTAGGCCAAAATGTATTCTGTTCCATGTTTTTGGTAAAAAAAATCCCAATAAGTGTATATTGATTGCTTTGTATGGAAGTTATAGCGTCTACAAACTATGATATAAATACTGCAATTTACGCCATTTTTTTTGCTATACAGCGCTGCGCTAGTTTAACGGACAATTGCGCGGTCATGCAATACGGTACATAAATGAAATTTACATCCTTTGTTCCCCACAAATTGAGCTTTCTTTCGGTGGTATTTGATCGCCTGTGCGTTTTTTTATTTTTTGCGCTATAAAAAAAAAAGGCTGACAATTTTGAGGGAAAAAAAACAATATTTTGGACTTTTTGCTATAAAACATGTCCAGTAAAAAAAAAATGCAAAAATCAAATTTAGTCATAAATTTAGGCCAAAATGCATTCTGCGACATGTCTTTGCTAAAAAAAAAAAACAATAAGTGTAAATTAATTGGTTTACGTGAAAGTTATAGCTTTTACAAATGGCGGTAAAGATACTGGGATTTTTAGGTTTTTTTTATACTAATAATGGCGGCGATCAGCGAAGTATGGCGGCGATCAGTGACTTATGGCAGCGACCAGCGACTTATGGCGGGACTGCGGCAGACATTTTGACATTGGGGGGTACTGACTTGGGGTCACTGACATCCCCAAAAACACTAATACAGTGATCAGTGCAAAAAAAAAAAAACTGACACTGTACTAATGGCAATGGGGAGGAAGGGGTTAACTTTATTTTGCAGGGAAGGGTTATAGGAGTGAGGGGAGTGTTTTACTAGGGGGCGGGGTGTGTACTGGGCGGGACAAGGCTGATCGAGAAAGAGAAACTGTTCTTTCTCGATCAGCTCATCCTCGAGCTGAGAAGGAAGTGACAGACAGCACAGCTACTGCAGCTGTGCTGTCTGTCACTGTTTGCCGCCGATCGCCGGGACATAGCCGCTAAGGAGCGGCTGTGACCCGGCGACTGACATCTCTGCGGCGGTGATCTGCGGGACAAATACGGTGGCGGCGCGCCTCGCACGCGCCCCCTATTTTGTTTACAAAAACACACGTCTTAAAACGTGGTTTTGCCTGTGAGTGCTGCCCTGCCGCCGTATATCTACAGTGGCTGGGCGGCATGCGGTTAACCTTGCCAAATTCATACGCTGGTTGTAAGATGGTCAGAGAGTTTAAGGGAGACCTAAGTTAAGTATACTCAACCTTTAGCCTTGCCAAATTAATTTTACACTCATATATTAAAAAAACAAAACACACAAACATAAGCTGTCAACTGCAGAAACATCATATAAATTCATAGACCTACTTTGATGCTGCACTATTCTGATCTTCATCAGAAGAAGAGGACGGGGATGAGTCATGGCCAGATGAAGGAGAAGGCTTCAAAGTCAAGTGGTTGGGGAACTTGGAGGCAGTTGTGTCATACGGCATGGACCAGCCTGAGAATGGTCCCCCTTTCAGAAGGTTTTCGTCATGAAAGTGAGATAGGTCACCCATGGGGTGAGGAGGAAACACAAAACCAGAGTTGGGTCCTGGAGGAAACGGGTGATGCTGATAGGGAAGCTTTGGAGGCATCTGATGGCTAAACTATAAAATAAAAAAAAAAAAAAAGATTATACAGTTGTAAAGTTGTCCAAAATTATTCAACCCACACTGAAATTGAGTGTTTTGGCCAGTTTGACATTGCTTTTGATCATTCAGTCATCTTGCTTACATTTACATTAAAGAGGCACTTGTAGGTCAGACAAAATATAACATAACAGTTATAATGAAATAACCACAAATGTCTTTTCTGTGCTCACAGCATTATCAGTTTTATTCAACCCCCAAGTGACATTCAATCTTAGTACTTAGTACAGCATCCTTTTACAGTTATAACAGCTTTTAAACGTGAAGCATAGCTTGACACAAGTGTCTTGCAGCGATCTACGGGAATCTTCGCCCATTCTTCATGGGCAAAGGCCTCCAGTTCAGTCACATTCTTAGGCTTGCGCACTGCAACTGCTTTCTTTAAGTCCCACCAGAGGTTCTCAATCGGATTTAAGTCTGGTGACTGCGATGGCCACTCCAAAATGTTCCAGCCTTTCCTCTGCAACCATGCTCTAGTGGACTTGGAGGTATGCTTGGGATCATTGTCCTGTTGAAAGGTCCAACGTCTCCCAAGCCTCAGGTGTGTGACGGACTGCATCACGTTTCCATCCAATATCTCCTGGTACTGAAGAGAATTCATGGTACCTTGCACACGCTGAAGCTTCCCTGTACCTGCAGAAGCAAAACAGCCCCAAAGCATGATTTGACCCTCCACCATGTGGTAGGCAAGGTGTTCTTTTCATCATAGGCCTTGTTCTTCCTCCTCCAAACATAGCGTTGATCCATGGGCCCAAACAGTTCTAATTTTGTTTCATCAGTCCACAGAACACTATCCCACAACTTTTGTGGTTTGTCCACATGGCTTTTGGCATGCAGTCGACTCTTCTTATTCTTTGGAGACAGCAAGGGGGTACGCCTGGGAGTTCTGGCACGGAGGCCTTCATTACGCAGTGTGCGTTCTTATTGTCTGGGCTGAAACTTCTGTACCCACATCTGACAAATCTTTTCTCAGTTCTCTCAGCATCACACGGGGACTTCTCTCCACTCTACGCTTCAGGTAGCGCACAGCATTCGAAGTCAGCATCTTCTTTCTGCCACCGAACCAGGTAGCGTTTCAACAGTGCCCTTTGCCTTGAATTTGCGAATGATGCTTCCTAAGGTGTCTCTTGGTATGTTTAACATCTTTGCAATCTTCTTATAGCCATTGCCCTTCCTGTGAAGAGAAATCACCTCTTCTCTTGTCTTCCTGGACCATTCTCTTGCCTTCACCATGTTTGTAACCCACACCAGTAAATGTCTAGAAGGAGCTGAGTATCACAGTCATTTTAAAGCTGCCTAATTGGTGCTTATTATGCTTGATTGCTGCTCGGTGACATCCACAGGTGTTTTCAATACCTGATGGAAAGCACCTGTATGAACCTCTGTTCTTCAGAGTGGTAGTCTTTAAGGGGTTGAATAATTGTGGCAATGAATGAAGAAAACCACATAAGAACCATTTACTACTGTATTACAAAAACAATTGATGTCATTTTTAGTTGCATTTGGGTAGTTACAACGTCCTTGTAGGATTTGATTCTGAATACAATTCCAAATGTACACTATAGTCCCTAAACCCCTTTACAGCATTGGGGGTTGAATAATTTTGGACACAACTGTAGCTAAATCAATGTAAACTTTGTCTCAGAAGTATAATGTTTATGAACCCTTAACATAACATGGCCAGTCCTACAAGGTGCATCTGTCCAAGTGACCCTCCTGTCCCACCTCTCCAAATGCCAATAACCACCTACCATTTAAAGTATATCTAAAGCTCAAACATTTTTTGTCATTTTGGATAGAATACAGAAAAGTTAAAATGGCTCATTAGGGAGATTTCCCTTCACTTCCCATTCGGTAGACACAACAGGAAGTGAAAGGATATCTTACCAAATGTGAGGGAAATCCACTCTATGACCGTTATCAAGGGAACAAGTTTCCTCACTGGAAAGATTTCCAATCTATTCCTGTTCTGGGGTCAAATTAAAATGGATTCACTCTCGCTCTAATTCTGATGACAATGGTGATCAGGAAAAACAGGGAGAGAGTGAATCTACCTAAATGATACACAGACAGCAATAAAAACCTGGCAGTGGTTCTAGACCTTCACCATTTTATCTAAACTAAAAAAAAATTATACACACTATATTGTCAAAAGTATTGGTCGGCCTGTCTTTCCACGCACGTGACCTTTAATGGCCTCCCAGTCTTAGTCCGGAGGGTTCAATATTGAGTTGGCCCCGCCCTTTGCAGCTATAACAGCTTCAACTCCTCTGGGAAGGCCGTCCACAAGGTTTAGGAGGGTGTCTATGGGAAGGTTGGACCATTCTTCCAGAAGCACATTTGTGAGGTCAGGCACTGATGTAGGATGAGAAGGCCTGGCTCACAGTTTCCGCTCTAATTCATCCCAAAGGTGTTCTATGGGGTTGAGGGCAGGACTCTGTGCAGGCCAGTCAAGTTCCTCCACCCCAAACTCACTCATCTATGTCTTTATGGACCTTGCTTTGTGCACTGGTGCGCAGTCATGTTGGAACAGGAAGGGGCCCTCCCCAAATTCTTCCCACAAAGCTGGGAGCATGAAATTGTCCAAAATGTCTTGGTATGCTGACGCCTTCACTGGAACTAGGGGGCCAAGCCCAACCTCTGAAAAAGGACCCCACACCATAATCCCCCCTCCACCAAACTTCACAACTGGCACAGTGCAGTCAGCCAAGTACCTTTCTCCTGGCAACCGCCAAACCCAGACATGTCCATTGGATTGCCGGACAGAGAAGCGTGATTGGTCACTCCAGAGAACAGGTCTCCACTGCTCTAGAGTCCAGTGGCGGTGTGCTTTACACCACTGCATCCGACGCTTTGCATTGTACTTGGTGATGTAAGGCTTGGATGCAGCTGCTCGGCCATGGAAACCCATTCCATGAAGCTCTCTACACACTGTTGTTATGCTCATCTGAAGACCACACCAAGTTTGGAGGTCTTTAGCTATTCACTCTGCAGACAGTTGGCAACTTCTGCGCACTGTGCGTTTCAGCATGCGCTGACCCCGCTCTGTCATGATACGTGGCCTACCACTTGGTGGCTGAGTTGTTGTTGTTCCCAGTTGCTTCCACTTTGTTATAATCCCACTAACAGTTGAGCGTGGGATATTTAGTAGCCAAGAAATGTCACGTATGGACTTACTGCACAGGTGACAACCTATCACAGGACCACGCTTGGAGTCCCTGAGCTCCTGAGAGCGACCCATTCTTTCACCAATGTTTGTAGAAGCAGTCTGCATGCCTAGGGGCTTGATTGTATACACCTGTGGGCACGGAGGTGATTGGAACACCTGAATCCAGTGATTTGGAGGGCAGGCCCAATACTTTTGACAATATATTGTATGTTACGTCCTGCAGTTGGATTAGAATTAGAAATTCAAACATTTTTTTTAAGTGTACCTGTAGGAAAAAAGAAGGGACGTTAGACTGGTCAGCTGTTTTGAAGAGTGAGGTTACAACCTTTCTGTCTCTGCTGCACCTCAGCAGCTCCCAGCTTTAAGCTGAACAGACTCTCCCTCATCTCACACCAATGTAAAATGGACTGTTGGCTGTCAAGGACGTGGCATTTCCTGCAAACCCATAACCAACCTGGAAGATCTAAGGAACTTCCATGATGCTCTGGAAGAATTTGACCATTATTTAAAATCAGTCTACAACCATCAAATAAATATTTATTATAGGATGCATTCACAACACCGTTTGTGAAAAAAATTATGGGTTTTAAAGAGAACAGATGCATTTCCTTTTAGACTTTCATGTAGCTAAGCAGTTAAGGTTAACATGGTAAATATGTGAAAAGAAGACTAGCACTCCACCTGCTGCCTGGAAATGTATAGATATGAAATAACATTTAACTACACAAATACCGTGTTTTCCGGCGTATAAGACGAGTGGGTGTATAAGATGACCCCCTACTTTTCCTGCTAAAATGTAGTGTTTGGGCTATACTCGCCGTATAAGACTACCCCTCTTCCAATGCACACCAGTGGGAGGAATAGTGCCCCATCATCGGTGTCAGTGGGAGGAATAGTGCCCCATCATTGGTATCAGTGGGAGGAATAGTGCCCCATCATTGGTGTCAGTGGGAGGAATAGTGCCCCATCATTGGTGTCAGTGGGAGGAATAGTGCCCCATCATTGGTGTCAGTGGGAGGAATAGTGCCCCGTCATCGGTATTAGTGGGAGGAATAGTGCCCTGTCATTGGTGTCAGTGGGAGGAATAGTGCCCCATCATTGGAATAGTGCCCCATCACAGTGGGAGGAATAGTGCCCCATCACTGGTATCAGTGGGAGGAATAGTGCCCCATCATTGGTATCAGTGGGAGGAATAGTGCCCCATCATTGGTATTAGTGGGAGGAATAGTGCTCCATCATTGGGATCAGTGGGAGGAATAGTTCCCCATCATTGGTATCAGTGGGAGGAATAGTGCCCCATCACTGGTATCAGTGGGAGGAATAGTGCTCCATCATTGGTATCAGTGGGAGGAATAGTGCCCCATCATTGGTATTAGTGGGAGGAATAGTGCCCCATCATTGGGATCAGTGGGAGGAATAGTTCCCCATCATTGGTATCAGTGGGAGGAGTAATGCCCCATCATTGGTGTCAGTGGGAGGAATAGTGCCCCATCATTGGTATCAGTGGGAGGAATAGTGCCTCATCATTGGTGTCAGTGGGAAAAATAGTGCCCCATCATTGGTGTCAGTGGGAGGAATAGTGCCCCATCATTGGTATCAGTGGGAGGAATAGTGCTCCATTATTGGTGCCAGTGGGAGGAATAGTGCCCCATCATTGGTATCAGTGGGAGGAATAGTGCCTCATCATTGGTGTCAGTGGGAAGAATAGTGCCCCATCATTGGTGTCAGTGGGAAGAATAGTGCCCAATCATTGGTGTCAGTGGGAGGAATAGTGCCTCATCATTGGTGTCAGTGGGAAGAATAGTGCCCCATCATTGGTATCAGTGTGAGGAATAGTGCCCCATCATTGGTGTTAGTGGGAGGAATAGTGCCCCATCATTGGTGTCAGTGGGAGGAATAGTGCCCCAGCATTGGTGTCAGTAGGAAGAATAGTGCCCCATCATTGGTGTCAGTGGGAGGAATAGTGCCCCATCATTGGTATCAGTGTGAGGAATAGTGCCCCATCATTGGTGTTAGTGGGGGAAGAATAGTGCCCCATCATTGGTATCAGTGTGAGGAATAGTGCCCCATCATTGGTGTTAGTGGGAGGAATAGTTCCCCATCATTAGTATCAGTGGGAGGAATAGTGCCCCATCATTGGTATCAGTAGGAGGAATAGTGCCCCCATCATTGGTATCAGTGGTAGGAATAGTTCCCCATCATTGGTATTAGTGGGAGGAATAGTGCCCCATCATTGGTGTCGGTGGGAGGAATAGTGACCCATCATTGGTGTCAGTGGGAGGAATAGTGCCCCATCATTGGTGTCAGTGGGAGGAATAGTGCCCCATCATTGGTATCAGTGGTAGGAATAGTTTCCCCATCATTGGTATTAGTGGGAGGAATAGTGCCCCATCATTGGTATTAGTGGGAGGAATAGTGCCCCATTATTGGTGTCAGTGGAGGAATAGTGCCCCATCATTGGTTTCAGTGGGAGGAATAGTGCCCCATCATTGGTATTAGTGGGAGGAATAGTGCCCCATCATTGGTATCAGTGGGAGGAATAGTGCCTCATCACTGGTTTCAGTGGCGGAATAGTGCCCCATCATTGGTGTCAGTGGGGGGAATAGTGCCCCATCATTGGTGTCAGTGGAGGAATAGTGCCCCATCGTTGGTATTAGTGGGAGGAATAGTGCCCCATCGTTGGTATCAGTGGGAGGAATAGTGCCCCATCATTGGTATCAGTGGGAGGAATAGTGCCTCATCACTGGTTTCAGTGGGCGGAATAGTGCCCCATCATTGGTATCAGTGGGGGGAATAGTGCCCCATCATTGGTATTAGTGGGAGGAATAGTGCCCGATCATTGGTATTAGTGGGAGGAATAGTGCCCCATCTTTGTATCAGTGGGGGGAATAGTGCCCCATCATTGGTATCAGTGGGAGGAATAGTGCCCCATCATTGGTGTCAGTGGGAGGAATAGTGTCCCAACCTTGGTGTCAGTGGGAGGAATAGTGCCCCGTCGTTGGTGTCAGTGGGAGGAATAGTGCCCCATCGTTGGTGTCAGTGGGGGGTGAAATAGTGCCCCATCGTTGGTGTCAGTGGGGGGTGGAATAGTGCCCCATCGTTGGTGTCAGTGGGGGGTGGAATAGTGCCCCATCGTTGGTGTCAGTGGGGGGTGGAATAGTGCCCCATCGTTGGTGTCAGTGGGGGGTGGAATAGTGCCCCATCGTTGGTGTCAGTGGGGGGGGGGGGAATAGTGCCCCATCGTTGGTGTCAGTGGGGGGGAGGAATAGTGCCCCATCGTTGGTGTCAGTGGGAGGAATAATGCCCCATCATTAGTATCAGTGACACCAATGATGGGGCACTATTCCTCCCACTGACATCAATTACACTTGCTGACCCCTGTTCTAGTATGGTGCTGCTGCAGCCAGCATATGTGGTTGCAGCAGCACCTCTACACAGCACACTTACCGGCCGCTCCTTCACTCGATTTTCGCGGGGCCGCTCGGCTCCATTCCCTCGCCGGTGATTGGCCGCCTGTGTGCCTTTCCTGAGCTACAGTTCTGGCGGCCAATCACCGGTGAGGAGGCGGAGCCGAGCAGCCGCGCGAACATCCAGTGGCCATACTGAGGGAGCAGCCGCGCTTCCTGGACCGGATCGTCGTGGGACCGGAGCCAGGTAAGAAACAGCAGCCCCTGCCCACCCCTGTACTTAGTGTTCCTTCCGCTGGAAGGGGGGGGGGGGGGGGGCGGCGACGGCACCGCACCGCCCCCCTAAAAAGTGTCAGTATGCCGTTTACCGGCGTATAAGACGACCCCCGACTTTTGAGAGGATTTTCAAGGGGTAAAAAGTCGTCTTATACGCCGGAAAATACGGTACATGTGAAAATGTATTTTTTAAGTCATTACCATAAGAAAATATAATGGAAAAACACCAGACACTGCTTTTTACTCTAGGTTCATACTATGTATCGCAACAAGAATGTGCACCGCATTCCGGTGCAATTCACATGCAATTCGGTGTGGTGCAATTTGAGACAATTCATTTTGAATGGACGCAAATCACGCAGCATCACACAAAAGTACTGCTAGCTCAGTGCTTTTTGAATGTGGTGCTGGAAATGTGAACGTATTGCGGGTTTCCCACACCACGTTCTAGTGTGAACCAGGGCTTAAAGAAGATAATTAGTGGAATATCAGTGCACAACAGAATGGCTGATATCAACAATCCAATGCAAAACCTCAAATGTTTTAAGAGCCCTTTACATACTTGTCCAGCAGCTACAACAAACCCCACTAGTGTAGGTTAGAGTGAAAAGTAAATTATAACTCCATAAGCAATAATACACTTGTATGGTGGCCACATTTCTTCATACAGGAGCCATATTCATGGCAGCTTACAGCAGTCCAGGCACACAGCAAGGATAGCACAAGACATTTGTTACTTGCAGGATTACCAGGTACGAAAAGAGAAAGGAATTAAACAAACGCAGTCCTTTATAACAAAAGAAATAAAAAACAAACAAAAACGCAGTCACCACATCTAAGGATTGGTAAGCAGTTACAATATATTACATAATTTATCAGAGGTTAAGATATATTTTATGCAAAACTCACCATGGGCTTCCCAACAGGCATTCCCCCCATCTGGTTATGAGGAAGATGAGGAATTCCAAACTGATTGGGTGGGTATCCTGCAACTAAAGGAAATAATACATTTTTTTTTAATTGCTGCTAGGTGTCCTCAGTCTGATGAGCATGATTTAACCCACTGGACCTACCCCAGCCTGTAACTGAACAGTAAAGGAAGCAAGAAGCTGATGAGCTTTTCTTCCTTCCTGCTTTCTCCTGCTATCAGCATGCCTCCTCTCAGCACATGAACTGACTGGTTCCTTGTGCTGCTACTTGCTTTTACACTCTTGCTCTGCTATACAGGGATGCTTGCGATCAAGCTTTCAATGGTGGAAGGCATTGAGGGGCCATTCCTAGGTGGGGACAACATGGATGCATTTGTATCACTAAGAGCAAAATAAAAAGCTTTGGAGGAAAAGAGAATTTTGCGTGCGGCCTGAATTGACTAATATGCCTAGATCAGCAATGGGCAAACTACGGCCCGGCGGACCTTTTAAGCCGGCCCGCGGAGCTAGGCTCCCGCTAGCTCCCGCTCCTCTCACAGTCCGCCCTGCGGTGTAGCATGAAAATCTGTCTCCTATGAGGATTTGTCCCCCTCGACGTATCTGCGCATGTGCTGGAGATCGCCGATCGGCTGCTAATGCCTGAAACTGGCACATGCGCAGATACGTCGAGGGGGACAGATCCTCATAGGAGACAGATTTTCATGCTACACCGGAACGGCGCGGGAACACGGCGAGAGGAACGCGCGGAGCAAAGGTAAGTGAATTGACACAGGGGGGACTTGGGGACTTAATATGGGGGATGAATTAATATGGGGAATTAATTACTATATGGGGGATGAATTACTATGGGGGATGAATTACTATAGGGGGGATGAATTACTATATGGGGGATGAATTACTATGGGGGATGAATTACTATATGGGGGATGAATTACTATATGGGGGATGAATTACTATGGGGGATGAATTACTATATGGGGGATGAATTACTATATGGGGGATGAATTACTATGGGGGATGAATTACTATATGGGGGATGAATTACTATATGGGGGATGAATTACTATGGGGGATGAATTACTATATGGGGGATGAATTACTATGGGGGATGAATTACTATATGGGGGATGAATTACTATAGGGGGTATGAATTACTATGGGGGATGAATTACTATGGGGGAAGAATTACTATATGGGGGATGAATTACTATAGGGGGAAGAATTACTATGGGGGATGAATTACTATGGGGGATGAATTACTATATGGGGGATGAATTACTATATGGGGGATGAATTACTATATGGGGGATTAATTACTATGCTTACTATGGGGGAATATTACTATACTTACTATGGATGACACATACACATCATTCATCTACTCTTGGTCCGGCCCCCGGGTCCAATATATGAACCCATTGTGGCCCTCAAGTCAAAACGTTTGCCCACCCCTGGCCTAGATGATAAATGCAGACAAATTCTATGAGCACCTCAGGCGTTCACATGACAGCGAATGAGGCAGCGGTGCTACACGTCAGCGATTTGAACTACACAGCCAGTTACATATACTCACCAACAAAAGGCGATGGGTTCATTTGGGGTGGACGCTGTTTGGTTGCAACTGAGTAATATTCCACAGCTTTTTTAAATCGTTCAATCTTATCTTCTGTCCTGGACTGGAAAACAAATCAAAATTTTAAAACATTCAAATCTTTAAATGAATTGTAAAAAAAAAAAAGCAGATGCATCAGGCAGAAAGTTCCCAGATCAGCAGCAACAACTGCATAGTACAAATCTAGGCTGAATCTCATTACGCTGCTCTCATATTCAGAAACTTGGTGAACAAAAATGCAGAAAACATTACAAACTCTCACCTGAGAGTGTCTGAATATTTCCTTCCCGACCACGTCTAAATTAGAAGCATCTTTGATTGTGGCCACATACTCAGAAACGGCTTTTATCACTACATCACAAGGCGGTAGGACCAGCTGGTGGGCACGGACCTGAAAGAAGCATAGCACAGGTAATGCTTGAATGTCGGGCTTTTCTGAACAGGCAAAGCTCTGACATGTACATATAGCTTGCCTGCTCCTTATGTGCAATTGTACGACAAATCTCAGCCAGGTCAAAATTCGAACCATGTATGAGCGGGCAGAATGTACCCAAGTTAAGTGATTGATCAACTTGGGTACAACCATCCTGTAAGATTTTCCATGCAATTATTGCTGGCGGCTATTATAGCCGCTAGCAGAAATCACTGTGTTCTCCAGGCGGAGGCAGCTCCCCCACCAACCTGTGGTTGCAGAAAAGAAAATCGCTCCATCTATGGCCGGCTTAAGGACAATGTTGCAAAAAAAAATTAATTTCTCCACAATGCCTATAGCTGCTGAGAGATGATTTGCTGCTTGTTCAGAGTATGTAAATACCTCAGTGTGCATAGTCTGGGCAGAATTTCACTTTTAAGGCAAGACAAACCTGTAAAAGAAGGCTGTAAATACTAAGCTTTACTGCTGCCCACCTGAGGTTATTGTTCCGCAAAGGTCCATTGGAAAACTAACACTTCCTGGAGTGACAGTCTTGGGTCCTTGGTATCTCTATTTCCTTCTGAAGACATCCATGTTACCACCATCTCCTGTAGTGACATGGAGTTCAGCAGGAAGAACCAGTGAGAGCTGCAGGGGACTTCAAACCTTTCAGAAGTGTAGTTTCACAGCAGGTGCCTTTAAATCCTCACTGTATATAAGGGGATTTTTTAAAAGTGGAACTAAGGTCTAAATAAAAAAATTATTGTGAGCAGACAGGCTCCTTATTGTAAAAGAGAGAGGCAATGTCCCTTATACAATAAAAATCAAACCCACCTGTTCCCTGTCTTCCTTAAATGTACACTGAGCTGCACATGTGCAAGTGTTCACTCATTCCGGCACACAGGTACTGTGCCGGAATGACTCAACTCCTGTGAATGCAAATGAGTTATGTCAACCTGCACCAGCCAATGAAGACAGCCGAAGACTGGCACATAGAAGAAAAGAAGGAGAAGATGCCACGTCAGCGAGGGACCTTGCAGATACTGGACCAGAGGTAAGAATTACGGATTTTAGTTCCACCTACAGTACATAGAGGACACACAACATTCTGTCTCAGGACCTTTTGTTCTCACCTCAGTATAATGTATATACACCAGGCCACCCTGAGACTATTCAGGTTATGGATTTTGAAATACAACCCTCAGTGGCAAACTATATACTTGGGGTGGTATAAAATATACAAGTCCTCTAAAAACTGTGCAGGTTGCAGGATCATTATATTTAATTGTGTACAACCACAATGCACCTCAGAATGACACAGGAAATCATTTTTACTTGTGGCCATCAAATGATCAGATTATAAACTACTTCTCTGTGAGTGAGGATTTAATCTGGTTTATGATCCAGTTTCTTATGTAGTTTTATAGTATTGGTTAATTAAGTGTAATCATTTTTAGGGTAATGTTTAGAGGAAGTACATTTTGTAGTTTGATTCTCTGTTATTTTTCAATTGGTGTGAATATTCTGTGTGGTGTTTTAATAGGATGGGATAGCTTATTACAGTATAGTGCTTCGTTTTAATTCATGACTATTGTTTATATTAACTTGTTATTGGTAATTTGTATTGTTGTTATTGTGTCTTGTTTTTGTTTTTTATTGTGATTCTGTGTTGTCTTGTTGATTGTAACTGTACCTTAAAAATGTCCCTTTTAGTATAAAGTATTCTGATTTGGAATTCTCAATCGGAATCTGAACTCCATGCCATTCAGATATTATTTGTACCTTTGTTTGTGTCTTTACTACAGTTTATCCATCAAAAGCAGCAAGGAGTCTTACCCACAAACACCTTCTAACCCACAAGCCCTGTTCTAACTGACTGGAACAAGGAAAAGAGAATTAGATAAAGTCTGAAAAGTACTTTGGAGTCCACTACCGGTGTACAGTATGATTTCCCTTGTTTCTGGACTTCATTTTGATTTAAACTCAGACAAGAATGTATTTATGTAATTTATTTAAAGACTATCACCTTCAAAGATGCAAGAGGATGATCTGGTCCCAGCAAGCTCCAATGAAACGCAGCTAAATCTTCATCAGGAAGAATATGATTACCTAAAGCAAGATTATATTACCGATTTAAATATATCAAATAGGCATTTGTCTGTTACTAAATGCAAACACATACATTCATAAGTGGAACAGAGGTTTTTCATTATAGTGCGTTATTGCTCACTGGCTGTCAACTTACCCAAGAGAGCAGCAAAGATTGGGAAGTTGATCATCTTCAGGCCAAGCTGCTTGGCCACTTCCTGCATTAGAAATTGGTTGGTGGTAAGATTCTTCCCATTCCAGCTAAGCTTGAGAGCATGAGAGCTGTAGTACGATGGGATGTTACACAAAGCATACTCAGAGTCGTGGGCGATGAGGCCGTGAAATCCGTTTTCCCGGAAAAAAGAAACCACTTCCAGGTGATGATCCTCCAAGCTCTGAAATACCTGAAAAAAAAAAAACAGTAAAGATCACAAGGTTCATAAAGCTACTAAACAACACTCTGAGCTCATTGTTTTAACATGCATATCAGGAGATAGAACCGAGCATTGAAAGGGGAAGATTTTTACAGAGCACCTGAAATGTTTGTGTAAGAATAGCAGTCCATGAAAACGTTGATGACATAGTACACGGTGAAGGGTCTGTGTCAACAGGCTTTTGCTCACTTTAGTACTGCTTCTCTTCCCATTCAACCAAAAAAGCAGCTCAAAGCTTAAGAGGTCAAATATACAAAACCTGTCAATGACGTCTGATCACAGAAGCAGCTCTAAAAGATCCCAAATGAAATCTGCATGTGCCTGAAATCACCTTGCTTTTGCCCACCAACACACGACCAAAGCCAGTTGACACAATCCTTTAGGGGTACCTCGGTTTACAAACGCCTCGGTTAACGTAATTTTCAGTTTACGAATGAAAATCCATTGAAAATAATGTCTCGGTTTACAAATTTTTCTCGCAATACAAAGCGTTTATAGCGCCAGCCCTGTGCCTTTAACCACTAGCCTACCGGGCACTTATACCCCCTTCCTGCCCAGGCCAATTGAAAGTTTTCAGCGCTGTCGCACTTTGAGTGACAATTACGCGGTCATGCAACACTGTACCCATATGAAATTTTTATCTTTTTTTGTGACAGATAGAGCTTTATTTTGGTGGTATTTAATCACCTCTGGGTTTTTTATTTTTTCTTAAACAAACCAAAAACCACTGAAAATTCTGAAAAAAAAAAAAGTTTTTTCTTAGTTTTTGTTATAAAATTTTGTAAATAAGTGATTTTTCTCCTTCACTGATATGCGCTAATGAGGCTGCAGTGATGGGCACTGATAGGCTGCACTGATGGACACTGATAGGTGGCACTGGTAGGTGGCACTGAAAGGCAGCACCGATACATGTCACTGATATATGGCACTGATAGGCGGCACTGACTGGCACTGATAGGAAGCACTGATAGGTGGCACTGACTGGCATTGATAGGTGGCACTGACTGGCACTGATGGGTGACACTGAAAGGCAGCTCAGATGGGCACTGATATGTGGCATTGATGTGCACTGGTAGGCACTGATATGTGGCATTGATGTGGCACTGATGAGCACTGACACGAGGCACTGATGGACATGACACGAGGCACTGCTGGGGCTACACTGATCATCAGTGCCCTGATGATCAGTGTACATGTCCCCTCCGTGGAAAGCCGATTACTGGCTCTTCTGTCAGCGTGACAGCTCGAGAGGACAGAAATGCCGATAACCGGCATTTCCCTGTTTACATGTGATCAGCTGTGATTGGACACAGCTGATCACATGACCGAGCCGACATCTTCGACTCTTTCCGTGATCGGCTGTGTCCGAGGGACACAGCGCACCGCCGATTGCCGCACGCTCCCTGAGCCACACATGCGCAGTGAGAATGGGAGGACGTCATATGATGTCCTCCCAGAACGAGAGAAACACCTTGCGTCTGTCATATTACTACATGGCGGGCGGGAGGTGGTTAAAGTGCACTTTGTAAAAAGTTTTGAACAGATAAGACTTTTGACTTTTATCTGACCTCCGGAATTAATTGGTTTTCAATGCATTCCTATGGGAAACCGCATTTCGGTTTACTAATTTTTCGCAATGCGAATTGTCCCGCAGAACGCATTAGGTTCGTAAACCGAGGTACGCCTGTATATCCATCTCTGTTATTACACTAGTATTTGGGAGGTCAAGGTTTGCCATCTTCTAAATTCTGACATGAAAACTTTTCAGAAATGTATCTTCTGTTTAACCGCTTCCATACCGGGCACTTTTACCCCCTTCCTGCCCAGGCCATTTTTCACGTTTCAGCGCTCTCACACTTTGAATGACAATTGCGCGGTCATACAACGTTGTACCCAAACTAAAATTTTATCATTTTCTTCACACAACTAGAGCTTTCTTTTGGTGGTATTTAATCACCGCCGAGGTTTTTATTTTTTGCTAAATTAACCAAAAAAGACCAAAAATTGTGAAAAAAAAAACACGTTTTACTTTGTTTCTTGTATAAAAGTTTGCAAATAAATAATTTTTCTTCATAAATTTAGGCCAAATGTATTCTGCTACATGTCTTTGGTGAAAATAACCCAAATTAATATTTATTATTTAGTCTGTAGGAAAGTTATAGAGTTCACAAACTATGGGATATATCTGAAAATTGATCAATCCTGAAGTACTGACGGCCGATCTGAAGTTGTAATTTTTTTGTCATAATTTTTCAGAAATGAAGAAATAAAAAAAATGATTTTCACTATTTTTTTTTATATACTGTCACCAGTGCAGTACAGCGTCATCATATAACTGGCATGGCGGTGATCAGGGACACTGACTGGTGACAGTACGAAAAAAAAATTGATTTTTTTTATTACATTTTTTCTCTTTTTTTAAGATTATTTTTCATATTTCACTATGACCAAAGTAGTATAATGTTACCATAGTAACATTGTACTGCTTTGGGGAAGCGATCAGTATTTTTTTTTTTTTTTTTTTTTTTACAATTTGCTTATAGAAAATAATTACTTTGCTATAAGCAAGCATTTACCTGAATGAAATCGATTCATTCAGGATTTTTTTTTTTCTTAACTGTTATTTGACCACAGCTAATCACATGACACAGCTGGGCTGTGATTGGCCCAGCTTGTGCATGTGATCGCTGTGACCATTCACAGCTAGCCACACCTGTATACAATGGATGGCGTGAAAGGAAGCCATCCATTGTATACAACTGTCATGTGACCTGCTGTGATTGGTCACAGCAGGTCACATGGTGCCGGTACACAGATCTGGCATCGGCCGTGTTCAAGGTACATGGCCAGTGACAGATCGCACCGCTGTGCGGCTCTGCGGACAAGCAAACTGTGCATTCCTGAAAGGACGCCATATGACGTCCACCCGGAGGGACGAGGTGTTTTGCCGGCCGCCATCCGGCTATAGGCCGGGCGGGAACCTGTTAAACACCTAGATGCCAAAACAACAGAATATTCATCTCCTATTCAACAGTAAGGGGTCATGCACATTTTTTGCACGCGTACAACATAACATATGCCTGTATTTGTGGCATCCGGGGAATCCAGGTGCTGAGTGATTCTGCCCATAGAAATTAATTACAAAATATGCTGTGCTTGAGTATATGTTTGTAAATGATGTTACATTTACAGGCGCATGCACCAATCCCTTTTTCTTCAAGCAGAAGGTGATTAGACAACCTCAGCTGTGCATGTTTCCCTGTGAGACTTTACAGACGTTTCCCTCCACTCAGGTCTCAGACTACACTCAGATCCCTGCTCTGCAGTGTGACATCTGATCCCCACCCCCTGCCTACTGGAGCTCAGAGATGCTGTGTAAATGCCGGTTCATATATATGCTCTTTGAACCGCATGCAATCTGCATGACGTGAAATAACATTGCTTCCTATGGTGTCTGATCACATATGTCCAGTGTACAGGCAGTGCGGAATGATAAAAAGTCCTGTCCAACTTCTGAGCAGTGCAGTTCGGTTCAGGTGCAGATTACAAGCTATTGATTTCTATGGGTATTGTTTAAACCCATAGAAATCAGGTGTGAACAGGATAAAATCCTGACCTGAACCACTGGTCCGAATTCCAGCCACGGCACCACCTGCCTGGAGTTTGCATGTTCTCCCTGTGCCTGCGTGGGTTTCCTCCGGTTTCCTCCAAAGATATGCTGGTAGGTTAATTGGCTCCTGTCTAAATTGTCCCTAGTATGTGTATGTATGAATGTGAGTTAGGGACCTTAGATTGTACACCCCTTTAGGGTTAGGGACTGATGTGAATGTACAATATATATGTAAAGCGCTGCGTAAATTGACGGCGCTATATAAGTACCTGAAATAAATAAATCTTTTCTTTCACAGGGTAGATAGAATTGTCTTAGAATACAGATGGTGGATTTAGCCTTAGAATTTGACTGAACTTCCACTGTAATTTCAGTGCACACAAACTAATACGCGTTTTTTGGATGAGGATGCAGAAATTAAATCAATACCAACTATGTCAGGTCTTAAAATTGAACATGCTCATAAAACAGCAATAAACGTTGTTACCCAAAACTTTCCATACGTGACAAGTAAGATTTTACAGGTCATCAAATACCTGTGAATAGCGGCTCTAGAATTATTGCCCGTGCAGTCATATGCAACATATGTGTTGCACAATCAACGTTTTCTTACGTAGGCGTCCCGACGTGTTTGTATGTGTGTGCACGTGGGGAGGGGGGTTTAAGTGTTTGGGTGGAACTCTTAATTTTTTAAAGTTTTCACCTCATAGGGGATAAGCAGTCTAGGAAACATAGGGGTACACGCTATCAGGGGACCTAGCTGTCCAGGCAGTCAGCTTGCCAAAATTTACAAAGTTTACGTGAAAAAAACGTCCCGCTGCTGCCAACATATGCCATACGTTGGTGCCAGCAAAAGGGTTAAAGAACTCTTACAAAAAGGCGTGCAATGAATCGTGGTGCAGTGGGGAGAAGGCTCAGCGTGTGCAGCAAAGTGTGAATAGGCCCTATCTCCATTAATAACCAACATAAAAAAAAAAAAAAATAAACATTTTAACCACTTGCCGCCCAGCCACTGCATATAAACGGTGGCAGGGCGGCGCTCGTAGGCAAAAGCACGTTTTAAAACGGCTGCCTTTAAAACAGGTAGGGGGCGCGCGCCCGCCCTACCTGTCCCGCAGGTGTCAGCAGCGGGTGTCAGCCGACGGGGCACGGCCGTTTTTTTACCGGCCGTTTTCCCGCGATTGCTGGTGATCGCTAACACAGAGCAGGGCTGCATTGTTTACACACAGCCCTGTTCTGTGTCACTTCTCTGACAGCTTGTGAGAAGCTGCAGAGTTTCTCTCCCTCGATCAGCTCCCCCCTCCCAGTACACACCCCCGCCCCCTAGTAAAACACTCCCCTTACACTGCAAATTCTAAAA